CATGGTGATGATGGCAGTTTGTAGGAGAAATGGAATGACAATTGAGCAGGCTGATTTGGGAAAAGAAGGTGTTATAGAGGGGAGTAAATGAGCAAACAGAAAAGCCAGGCTTTGGAGAGCTATTCCTTCAATCAAAGGATAAAGACTATGGAAAGAGGATGCTTGCTAGGAGCAGTAGGAAGATAGTCTGTAAAATGGTAAGACTAGTTTGAAATGTATATGATGGTAAGAGGTAATTAATGCCTATTTCCCATATGATTACAGTCTCTGTATTAGGATCAACTTGTTTGTAAGAACAGACATCTTTCAACTGTCACTTCCTTGGCACAACACAATGAAATCACACAGAAGGGCTTATCTCTGTGAGTAGTGAGTCAGGAGCCAGGGAGCCTGCTTATGGGTCACAGTCAAGAAGGAATTCTTTCTGTCCCTGGTACTTGAATAGAGTAGCTTTCCCCAAATGTCTTTTGTGGGATCTTAACTCCCAACCATGCTCCTAGAGGGGTAAAAAAAAAAGCTCCATAATTGTGTTTGAAAACATCAAGAACTATTTTACTTAGAGATCACACTAATTGTTGAGGCAAAGGCATCCCTCTGCATGGAACCCTCAGATGCCTTCAGAGCTAAGGCCCTGACAAGCAAAGACTAAGGCAGAAAATCCTGTTCCTAACTGAAAAATAACAGGGCTGTGGCATGTGGGCAACAAGCTAATCCAGGCAGCCACACAAGGAAACTAAGGCCAAGAAAGGGAATAACAATTTAAAAGATAATGAGAGAATCAGAAGGAAATGTTAGTCCAATGAGATTGCCTCCAGTTATGGGATACCATGAGAAGAGGGCTCAGTACAGGAATCTTACACTAGGAGCCCAGTTGGACATTCCCTAAGCCAGGAATGATGTCACTGTACTCCCTTTAACTCTTATAGTCACCTGACTGTGCTGAAGGAAAAGAAATGATTGTATACATAGTACCTCCTAGATTTAAAATGTTTGGACCTAGAATAAGTGCTTACATCCTCTCTCCCCCCCCCCACTGGTAATTTCAGCTCCAGGAAGAATGAAGAATTACCAAAGACTTTTCTGAGTTTGATGGCTATCTCCAGCTGACACAGATTCTGGGATAAATCAGAAGTCATGATTGTTTTAATGGTGATCAGAATGGACCTGCTGTCTAAGTGCTGAGCAGATACTGACAGCCTGCAGAAATACTGATTCCCCCCACCCTCCACTCAGTGTATGAAGGTTAAATGCTTCACCCACTGAAAAGAGAGGCAAGGCATTGTCATCCTTCTCTACTGACTTGATGTTCATGATAACCCTATGCATGAAAGTGGGTTTTGTTCACTGTTTTACTCTTGCAAAAGTCACCAGTATTAACAAGAACAGCACCGAAAACTGTTTGTTACTGGCATTGCCTCATTTAGTCCCCATAGCAATTACGTGAGTTAGGCATGCACTGTCATTTCTAGTATACAGCCAAGAACTCAAGATGACAGAGTAAGAAGTTCTTGGCACAGCTCAGGTTTCAGCTGGGATCTCTCTGAGTGGAGACACTAATATTCTATCATTGTTCATTTGTCAGAATCATCAGTTAAAAGATGACCCTGTAACTACTGCTCTGTGTGTTCCCAACTCCTGACCCTCTCTGCCTGCTTTAGTCGTTTCTCTGTGGTAACATGCTTCAAATTCCTAGACCACTTACATTCACTTTATTCTCTCAACTTGGAAGAAATTCTCAGTTAAAGCAAGAATGGGAGGCAAACAACCTAGATTGGGCCAAATCAGTTAACGTATAACCAAAGTAACATTTTTCTAATTGTTTACTTTAAAGACTATGGACTATAAATATCTTTCACCCCCCCCCCCTTTGTTTTTTACAGATTTGGAAAACTCAAAAGATTTTGTATCGTAAAGATAACATAAAATTTAAATATCAGCATGTGCATACACACAAAATTTTGTGAGAACAATTTCATTCATTTACCTGCTGTCTGTGTCTGCTTTGATGCCATTACTCTTGAGTTGAATAGCTGCAAAAAAGACTGAATGACCCATACATCTGGCTTCTAGTCCAGAGTATAAGAGAAGATTGTTAGATTAGAAGATTAGAAAGGGTCAGTAGACACTCATTTTCCACAGTACACAGAGGAAATGCAAAAGCAGACTTAAACAGATCTTAGCTGTTTAAGTTACGGAGGAGCAGTATTGAGGTTTTTGCTGAAGCTGTCCAGTTTCTCTATGCTTTGCAAAATAACAGTGTTACCCTTGAATTCTTCCATTGTGAATTTTTAGTGACATATATACCCACAAAGCATAAAGCAGACAGCCAGAGCCATTTGGAAAATGGAACCCACTTGTTTGTCAGTGGCACTTCTGAGTTATTCTGCTGTTCCCACAAACATGTGCATATCATAGGGTAGTAGTAATCTTTGGGGACAGTGGCATATATGCAGAATGAAGTGACACTGTTGCAAGCCTTGCTGGAAGGCAGACTAAAAATGTACATGGAGGAACACAGATGTTTTCCTCCAGGTGGGCAACGCAGCTTTTCCACGTTGATGGGTCAAGCCACTCTAGTCAGTGAAGCTCAGCTGGTGGACCCAGCCTTACCCAACATGGCTGTCACTGACTTCTTTACCCCAACTCAAACACTCACTGCAAGGTGAATGAGAAATACCAGGCAGAGCTCACAATTTCACCTCTTTGTCAAAACTTCAGTTTACTCTAAATTTATATTTATCCTTACAAGGAAGAAAAGAACAATTGTTCGCACACAGTGTTGGTTCTTGATGTTTTATCTTGGCAGAGCCCACAATTTCACCTCTTTGTCAAAAACTCCAATTTACTCTAAATCTATACTTATAAGGGAGAAAAGAAAAACAATTGTTTGTTTGCACATAGTGTTGGTTCTTGATTTTTTTTATCTTATCTTCTGTACACACACACACACACACACACACACACACACACACACACTCCTCAAATAATTGTCCCAGTTTTTCTTCTTTCTCTCAGTGTACTTTGTCAAGAATATTGCTAACCTGCTTAGTAGGTTGTGACTTAATCCTTATAGAGGGGATGGTTCTTGTTAATAGTACACAGAGCTTCTAAACAACCAGGCTCTGTCTTTAGGCATAGGTGCAGGAAATGCCAACAATAAGTATTTGTCTTGCCCTTGCAATCCAATGCACTTCCTCTATTGCATACACACATTAGGGCTGTCCAGAGTCAAGCATGAAATTTGTTTCTGTTGTTATGTCTAACATTCTCCCGCTTTCTATAAAATCTCAGCATTTCATGATTTCTCCTCAGCTATGAAATGCTCTTGAACAGGGATGGCTTTTAATCATTGATATCTTAGTATAAGAAAAAAAAGTCATTCCCCAATCTCTCTTTTTCTTTTTTTCATCTATTCCTTCTTACTTTTCTTTATTCCACTTCTTTCCCCCTTCCTTTTATTCTTTTGTTATTTAACCTTTTCTATGCAGAATGGAAAAAAATCCCTCTTCTTAGGAAAAAAATTCATCCAGAAGACTTCCGGGCATGGGAGGGAGTTTGGAAGGTACTGGAATACTACTCAACAATTAAATCAATAGGGGATATTTGCTTCAAAACGTGGATGGCACTGCTTGGCCCACAGGGTCACAGGGAGAAAGTAGAGGAGACCCAGAGAGAGGAGAATCAGTGTGGAGAGGAAAGGATCTATATCACCTGTCATAGTCACCCAAGCAAGTGTTAAAAATCCCTTTAGAAGTAGAAAGTAGAGGGCCAGGGAGGGTAAGCGCCTAAGACCTGAGGTGCAGATAACTTGGGGGGTCTAAGAGTGCCTTGGCCTTCCCTGTTTTAGACTGACCTCACACACCAGACTCTGTCTGTGCACAGCACATCCTTCAGTGTAATCAAGAAGAGCTGCCTCATCTGGCAGTGTAGCCAAAACAGAGCTGGGCAATGTTTTCTCTCTTTGAGCAATTGCTTCTCCACAGTCGCTGTAGACTCAGGAGGTCACCCGATAGTGCTAAGTTCCAAACATTATCCTGCAGAGACAATCTAAGATTCATGGTCTTGGCTTGGAGGCAGGTTGTTTGCCATCTGAGTCACACTGCAGTTCTCAGTACCTGGGCAATCAGACAGTCAGGGACTGGGACTCCAGGACAGAACATGCGAACTGGGTGGGCCTGATCCTCTGTTTCGTATGCTTTAGTTCCTTTCCAATAGGCTGTCAGAGTTTGGAAATTTCTTAGTACATGGCCACTGGATTCTAAATTGCAATGGGAAGACATAGGGTGAGATATGTCCCAGTCTTGCCTGGGGGACATTTACTTCCTAAACTTTTAATTTAATACTTAAATATATTTTAATGAAATTTTATTTTAATTAAAGCTTAAGTAAATTTTAGCAAAAATTTAGAGTTGGCATCACTTTCCGTATTGAGTTTATCATCCTATTTTCTTTCTCCTTTCAGCCATTCTTCTTCTTTTCTTCACAACTTTCCACACTCTGCAAGCTCCCCCTTTCTCCATTAAGAACAACCCTGGAAACCCAGAACTTCGGAATTATATGCTGCTGTCTTCAAAGCCACAGGCTTGGGCGCTCTTACCTGGAGATCTACAGTGTGTGTGCAGCTTGCCTCAGCTAGCTCTCCCTGCCTCCAGGTGAAGGACTCCTAAATTTTGTACATTCCTTTCCCTTTTGTCTCTCCTGCTTCTCTAGGGCATGTGGGAGCTCTCTAGTAAATGTGTTCCCCAAACTACCCTCTTTTCCCTCTGGATTCGAGTTTCCACGCTGGCCTTCCTTGACAAATGCCAAATAAACTCTCCCCAAAGAGCCTTGGAAAGCCACAGGACAGAAGTATCTGGCTGGGGGAGTTTGGTTTTATTGTAGCTTTTGGTCAGGACAAAAATATTTCAACACGACAGATATCAGTCTAGTAGGAAAATAATAATAGAACTCTATACACAAATGTCAGCTATACAGCTGTCCCCGCAGTGGGTGATACTCACAGTTCAATGGCGTTCCGGGGGAGGTCGGAAGGAATCTCTGTCACCTTGCTGTCTTGGCAGAGGAAGACCCTGTCAGAGCAATGGCACAGCCAGTGATGACAACCAGCTCCGGAGCCCAGGAATGCCAGCAAGGAGACCAGGAGCAAGGCCATGCTTATTTATCCATCCACCTGTTTTTTTCCTGCACAGACAGCGAAAACCTCCACAGATTTTGCAAGCTCCTCCACACTGCAGGACAAGAGAGATCTGCCTGGAGAACAGGCAAAGTCACATGACCAAGGGATTTTTTTTTTTTTTTTTTTTTTTTTTTTGGTCACTTCTAGGCAAGTAAAATTAGTGTGTGTCAGTTCTGAGGCAACTTAAAATTCTTCCTTATCCTTTAATAAGTGTAGTTTTCATTCCTTGACCCAAAAATGACAGCAAATAGAACCTTGGTGAATATTTGAAGTAATTAATATTATTTTACCATACAAGGGTCCCCACTGGTCACCACTCTCTTCTCCTCAGTGACACAACTGACTCTCCCTTCAAGGGACATCCATATGACACATCTCTAAGAAATTACTGACACAAGGGAGACATGACCTACCTTCAGTGTTTGGTGTCACAGTATTCCTGTGACCCACCTGATAGAAAGCACACATCTGGGCTATAATCATGCTCTCTCTCTCTCTCTCTCTCTCTCTCTCTCTCTCACTTGATTAACAACTTCAACTAGTATTATGTACACTTCAGGGAGGTGGGTTAGCATTGAGTCTCTGCAGATAGGAGTCACTTGTGATACGGGGTTCTCTGCAGAGACAATTTGTCTTGTGACCTTAGGCATGGACTGCTTCTTACGAGGCTATGAAAAATGGCTTAGTGTCCACTAGGCATGGGTAGTCTTTCTGGCTTCTCTTGTCTTTCCTTTCCAGACTTTGAAAACTATCCTTCCTTTTTGGGCAGTTGGCACTAATAAATTTATCGAGTGTAAACTTTTAATTTTAGGTGCTCCCTGTGGGTGATGCCCATGATAGTTGCAGTGGAATTTTCAGGCCTAGTGATAAGGCATATGAGGAATTCTTTGCAAAAGTCAAGTGACTATCTACTTTCTAATATCAACCAGAGTCTAAAAGCCTACCCATTTCTAAGATCATGCCTACAATTTCCTACCTGCTAAAAATTACCTTCAATACTGTGTTTACACGTATCAAACATTGTTTCATGAAAATGGTTACTTATACACACACGACTCTCTCTCTCTCTTCCTCTCTCTCTCTCTCTCTCACAAACACATACACACATACACAAACGTATCCTACCCTTCCTTCTATCTCTGTTTCCTGACTTGTAATGAATGGATTAGATTGCTTTGAGGAGAGCAGAAGCAAGTGATTTGAGCAGGATGGGTATGATCTGGTTTCCAATTAGATGACTCTAATTTTGATATGGGGAATTGTAGCAGTATCAATATGGACCCTATACTAATAACAAGTTTGGCTAAGAATAACAGTTTAAAGAATTCACTCAATAACTCATCCGATTATCATCTTTCAGGTATAGAAGACAGGTCAGTCACTGAAGACTTATGTCTGCTTTAAAACATATCTGAGTAACTTTAATGGCAAGACACTGTATCTGCCACAGCTCACTTGTCCTGCTGGCCAGCAACCTCTACTTAGATCTTTGGAGTTGTCCAGTTCTGACTAAATCGATCTTTGTATAATGATTTGAAATTTTGTTAAAATTGAGATTAGATTTTAAATACCACAATGTAGTGGATACATATAGATAATATAATAACTACTTTATTATGCGTGGCAATAAACAGGTGAAGACACAGGAGATGAAAACTCTGCTGTATTTAGTTGATGAAGTCTTTCTCATCAGTTCTTTACAACTGAATGCGCAGAGAGGCCATTAATCTGAATTGTGTGCCTGTCATTCACTTTATTTATAAAAGTTAATGTTGTCACTAAAAGCCTGTCATTTAATTTTTGCTGTTTGGGGATTTACAGGAACTTGGTGAGTAGTTCTCGTGCTATATGACATTTTGTACTGATTTTATATTCCAAAGAGTCAGCTGCATAGTTAGGCATATCTCAACTCATAAAAATATTCTTCTGGTACATTTTTTTTTGTTTCTAAAAAGTTTCCTAATTTTTCCTCTATAACTTTTAGCCTTTGACTTATCTGTTTTCAATAATTGTGTATGATGGGAGTCAGAGACTCAGTTTCAGTTTTTATCTAATGGCATAATATTTTATCACACAAAGCAGCAATGGTGCTAGTGATATTTATTCAAATTTATGATTTATAAAGCTATCTTCTTTTTATGAATTAATTTCTGACCCACACATGCCAATCATATGAACGTGAAACAACTCAAAGCTTTTCTCTTTTGAATTTGGGAACTATGAGACAACAAGATGGATTTCCTAATAACTAGTCTTCATCTGCTCAGCATTTGTGACCTGCTGGGCACTAGCTTAGCCAATTGACACAATGTGGTGAATATGCAATCTACTGAATGTCAAGTTATCTTCTTATATCTCAAGTAACTTTTGTGTGGGTTTGTGTGTCCTGCTTCATCTATATTGTTAAAAGTAGCATTCTACAATGTCTTAATTACTAACAATTTTAAGTAAACTTTAATAAATCATATGAAATACTTATAACTTAGTTCATATAAGAGAATTTGGCATATTTGCCGATTTTTACTTTTATGGAAGATTTTTAGAATTAATTTTTTTGACTGCTTGAAAAAGAACTCATAAATTTTTATTAGAAATTATGTTGATTGGAAATTTTACAGTATTATTTTCTTGTCTAGGAATATGGTATATCCTCCATGTTATTAAAAGATTTCTTTGATGTTAATTTTATAAAATGTTACTCTGCTACCCACACATCCTAATAATTAAACTTTCTTCTATAATATTGGTATTCATGTTTCAAGCTTATCTCTCTTTTTCAAAGAGCAAACAACAAAATACAAAATGAACACCTAAAAAGACCAATAAAAAAATTCATAGCAAAACAAAAACTCCACAGGTTAATTTTTGTTGACCAACTACTTCTGGGCATAGACCTCCCCTGGAGTGTTATTGACACACCCAATGACACTCTACTTGAGGAGACTGGTTTTCCCTTTACCATTGAGTGTCAATTATTAATACTGTGATGCCTCTATTACTACATCTCTGTAATACAACTTGAAATCATGGATGATGATACCTCCAACAGTTCTTTTATTATTTAGGATTAACTTAGCTATCCTGTTTTTCATATGTGAAGTTGAAGGTTGATTTTTCAGTGATAGAATTTTGTTGGGAACTACATTGATTGCTTTTGGTAGGATGGCATTTTTTTTCAGTATGAATCCTATTAATCTATGAGCAGGGAAGGTATTTATGTCTTCTGTAGTGTTTTCAGTTCCTTTCTTCAATGTCTTAAAGTTTTTATGAAACAGGTCTTTCTTTTTTTGGTTAGAGTTATCTCAAGAGCTTTTTTAGGTTATTATGAAAGGTGCTGTTTCTTTGATTTCTTTTTCCATGTGTTTGTCATATATAAGAAAGCTACTGATATTTTTGTGTATTAATTTTGTATCCTACTACTTTGCCGAAAGTGTTTTTCAGTGATAGAAGTTTCTTTGTGAAATCTTATTGGCCTTTCATGTATAAAACCATATTATTTGCAAATAAAGACACTTTGACTTCTTCCTTTCCAATTTGTATCCCCTTGGTCTTCATCAGTTGTTTTGTTGGTTTAGCTAATACTTAAGTACTATATTGAATAGGTATGAAGAGAATGGATAACTTTGTTTTGTTTCTGATTTTTCGTGAAATTGCTTGTGTTCATTTGCTTGGAATACCTTTTTCTATCAGTTTACAATAATGTGGTGTCTATCCTTCATGGTGAGATGTTTTTCTTGGATGCAGCAGAAAAATGGCTAATGGTTTCTGTATCAATCTGTTAGTTTGTGTCTTTGAGGGGGTTTGAGACTACTAACATTGACACCTAATGTCAATGCTACTTATTCCTGTTATTTTACTGTTGTGTGGGTTCCTTATTTTTTTTTAAACTGGTCTTGAATATCTTGCTTCTTGTGTCATTGAGTGTAGTTAGCTTCTTCATATTGAAGGTTTCCTTCTAGTGCCATCTGTAGAATTAGATTGGTAGAAAGTTGCTCAAATTTGGTTTTACATTTGGAATGTTCCCTTCTCCTCCCCACCCCCTTCCCTCCTTCTTCATCAATTGCAGTTTTTGCTCACTTTAGTTTTGTTCAGTACAGTAGTCTGGGCTGGCATCTCTGCTCTTTCATAGCTTGTAGAACATCCTTTAAGGCCCTCCTAGCTCTCCGAGTTGCCAGTGAGAAGTAAGATATTGTTCTAATGGGCCTACCTTCTTAAGTGAGTTGGTCTTTTCCTCTTACAGCTCTAAGTGTCCTTTCTTCATACTGTGCATTTAGGATTTCGATTATTGTGTGTACTTGGAACTTCCTTTTGTGACCCTGTCTATTTGATGCTCTGTAGGCTTCTTGTCCTTGATAGGCATCCCTTTCTTTAGGTTGGATAAATTTCCTTGTATGATTGATTGTGTGTGTGTGTGTGTGTGTGTGTGTGTGTGTGTTCTTAGGTTTGGTCTTTTCATAGTTTCCAAGATTTTCTGAATACTTTGTGCCTGAATTTAAAATAAATTATCATTTTCTTTGACTGAGCTATCTAATTCTTCTACCTTGTCTTCAAGATATGAAATCTTCTTTTCTAGATCTTGTATTATTTTAGTGAGTCTTACCTCTGAGGTTTTTGTTTGACATATTAAGTTCTTTATTTCCAGTTTTATTTCAGTTTGTGTTTTCTTTAGTGATTCTATTTCTTTATTAAATCTACTATTTTTTCTTGAATTGTTTTTGTTCACTGTGTTTTCAAAGTCTTCATGAAGGCCATTATGATTATGTTCAAGAACTTTAAAGGGGATATTCATAATAGCTATTTTGAAGTCCTTGTCTTGGGCTTCAACTGAATTGCTTTCCTCAGAGCCTATTGCAATAGGTCTCTGGCTTCTATAGGAGGAATGTTGTTCCAAATGTATTTGTGTTTTTATACTGAGAGCTAGGTGTTGAACTGTTGACACGTGTTCTGTGCTATTTAGTTCTATCAGTGCTTTTGGAGGGACTCAGATGTGTTTGAAGA